CCCCCTCCCTCCACAAAAAAAACAACGAAAACCGATGGAAAAAAAAAACATGGCACCACTTTTTTCATTATACAAAGCATTTTTTTTTGTGTTGATTTCCGTTATTGCTGTTGTTTATAAGCTATTTTATACCAGTTTACCCGTATATATGCATATGTAGATTTGTTGTATTGGTCAGTTTCTGTTGTTTGACTGAAGGATATCTGAGATCTTTTAATGAAAGGTCATTCACATGAGCAGGTAGCAAGCCAACAGGCCGCTTGGCAAAGGTGATGTCTCAGGGCATGATGTAGGCCACCGTAGTTCTTTGTCTGGCAGTTTGATGCCAAATTCTTCATTGTTGATATTGTAGGAGAAGTAACTTGCTTTTTAGAGAGTGAGATCTTGATAAAACAAATGCATTCAACAAGGGTTTCCTTATTAGGCAGTTGAAAATCCAGTTGGTTATATAGATGCGTATACAAAAGAATGATTTTTGCCAGTAGGACAATAACTTAATATCAGTGAGCAACTGACACTACCATTAATGTAAATAGCTTTAAAATATCAAAATCATTAGGTTTTATAAAATTACATGGCCAAGTTTTTGCTTCGCCCCACCCCTTTTACATTTCAGCCAAATGTCTGGTTCATATTTGCCTTATAAGATGAAGTATATGAGTAGGATCATTGTCCATGAAGTTTGGCATTGCTCAATGAACTACAGTGTTATTGCCCAAAAACCGAATGGTTCTTGTAAAGAAATCTCATCTTTGATCATAATGGTTTGCTTTCCTCCAGCTAGTGGTCAAACAATATCGGTTTTACAAAGGGCCGATGTCAATGCTGAAATATGGAGAGCAGGTTAGCTGATTGCTGATAGAAATAACAAGAGATTTAACACTTCCGTTAATCGGCCAAGCGGACACCGCTATCGCCCAAGGCCGATAGTCTGAAAATGGCTGAACATTGGCCGAAGCTAACTGATATATCAGTCTATCGAGCTATAAATTTCACACACTTTCATGTACATCGTACGTACTCATTTACACTGTATGGATGTAAGGTAGGAAAGGATTACTCGAGCCCATTCTGTTCCAGTGCTGCCTCCTGAGAGACAAGGTCTTTTCTATCCAAACATTCCAGCTATATGCCTTGAACTGAGCTTTACGCTCAGAGAAGCGCTAACGTTGGGCTATTTTACCTGTTGTTCTGCTCTCGCAATGCAAGAATGAACAACTCCTGCATGTAGAGGAGCATCATGATAGTGTAGTCTATCAAACAGACAGTTTGATTGCCCGGTGGTTACATAGGAGCACAGTAGATGCTGTTTATGGTAGTTGTGGGCTGGAGCTGTTAATTTGACGTTTGGTCCCCCAGTGGCCAATACTCTCTGTATATAAAAAGCCTTACAATATTTACAGTATCTTTTATACCAACAAAAGTAGGTGAGAGACGAGACTGAGACAATCTGTAGACCTTACCATAAACCGAAAACCGCACAGGCCTTCACAGAAGGAACATATTCATGAATGTCTTGCAAACAGTTTGACGTGTGTTAGCTTACTTGGTAACAGATATAGATTCAAACTATGTAAAATGTGAAACACGGGGTTTTATTGGAAATAGTCCCCTTTGTTAAGGCTCGTTCACACCAGAATCGTTGAAAAAGTCAGTTGCGACACTACTAAAGAGTTTCATTGGAAGAGGGAATACGGAAGTAACTTATTCCAAACACAATATATGTACAATGTAGTCTACGCTATGGAAGCAATCCCCCTTTCCTCCAAAATTGAAAACAGGAAAAAAAAACTGATTAAGGCTACTATAAATATAGTCAATGTAACAACATTATGCGTTAATATTTACCGAAAATTGCTTCAAGTATAGAGTCGCTGCTGCTATCTCTTCAAACAGGTTCTTAGCGCCTGTTCATTTAGAACTATTGAGAGCAATATGAACCACGTGACCGCGAGATAAAAGGTTGTCGCAACTCTTTTTCAACGGCTCTGGTTCACACCAAGAACGATAACTATATACACCTTAGTCAGGGTAGTGCCATGTTTAATTTTTAAAGCGTCCATGTCATCATGAAGTACAGTCGATCAATGGATTGTTCTGTTGTTTAACAACATAAAGGTTCAGCTGACGAAATGTCTTTACGGAAAAAAAAATGTTCAAAAACAATTTAGAAAGTTGTGAGTTGTGAAAATTACACAATCTAGAACCTTTGTACAGTATGTCATTGTAAAAACTAAGTCTATCACGCACAGCCTCGTTTTCGTCGTCACGTCAAATTCAATATGTTGTGTAATCTGACTAGTGTCCACACCAACGGATAATAACGCTATGTTTATTATAAGCGTGCTGTAGTAATGTATTAAATGCTCGAGATTTTTAAAAGTTTGTCGTTCTTCAGCTAAACAAAAAAAAACGTTCTGAAATTCCATTGTTTCTCTGTGGAATACGCAATGTCATGTAATTTGGAAAGCTTTAAACTTTATAGTTATCGTCCTTGATATGAACAACCCTATAAACTTTATAATTGTAACTACTATTTCATCCCCAAATTGGGCTTCTAAGAGAAATCGTAAATATATATATATTTTTTGTTGTTACCTGAGATTAACTGGTTGGCATCCTAATCATCCTAAACCTTCAGCCAGAAAGTGCACAACAGTCTGTATTTGTCATGTTCTTATCATTCCCTAGAAGGTACACTATAATAACATCCAGGGTTATGGTTAGGTTACACATTCACTATGGTTTTACACTACACAAACTAGATTTACATTCATATATCGGTGAGCTTCTTTCACCTCTGCAACTGGTGTCATGGTAGGAAGCACAAGCTAGTCACTATAGAGTTGGGAGAGAAATGTCTTAAAGGGTTTGTACTGGGGTTGGTGAGGTGAAATGGGATGATATTAAATAAATCATCCGTTTTCATCAAACTTGGGAGAACAAACGTTTCATTCTGTAAACAGTTTCTGATTCAAACACTTCCTCAACTGTTACACTTGCAGGTCAGGTTAAATATGGACATTCCAAGGTGCTTTTGATCAGTGGCATGTCTGGTTCAGGAGTGATGAAGGACTATGTGCAACAGACTTCTCCAGCACACACAATATGTACCCCCTGTGCATTAGCTTGTCTCATTTGTATTGATTGCCAATAACTTTATTCTACTGTAATGTGCTTCAGCTTTAATCATTTGCTTCTAAATTAATCTTGTTAACTGCAGATGTGTAAAGAACAAGAACATACATGTTAGTGGGATACATACTGAAATGTCATATTTATAGAAATGGGGAAAAAGTGGAGTCTGTGGGTGCGATCTCCATAAAGAAAACAGAAAGCCCATTTCAAAGAGTAAATAGATGGAAAATGGCTTCAAACAGTTTAATCTATTTAGCTAAAGCTATTTTTGACCTCCAAATAATATCAGTAAATATTCCAAGGCCTTGTCTGCTTAGTTGGCCGTTGGTGTGCAGCACCCATTGAAGCTCCATTATAGGTCCTAGACCATTTTAGTTCTTTATGCACTGTTACATTTAATGCACTAGATGAGAAACATACCTCTTTTTACAAAATTAGAATCACCAGAGTTTGTCTGGTTACAGCTGAACCTGATTCATAACACTCAATAAATACCATTTTTGCAATAAGGCTTGTACTTATGGAGCTTAAAGAACTGAACATAAGGAACTTTCTAATGGTTGTTTCACAGTAAATGCTGCCATTTAGATATGTTCCTTGCCCTTCCAGATAGGAAATGTTTGCAAGACATCTCATGAATATAATTTGATGTTTTCATATCTCAGTGCCATCAAGCGATGTGGGAATGAAAGCAACAAATGATGAGTTGATCCATGTTGGTAGGGCATTACCAAGGGTGATTTAAGACTAACGACCAGGGAGGGTAATTGTCTTCTGAATTTCAAGTAATATTGAAATGCCACACATTACACACGGCACACGTACTTTCTGCCAATGATGGGAACTGGAAAGTTTTCTCCTGGTGCATTTGTCTTGTCAATATTACCGGGTCAGTCCGTAATGGAAATGCAGTTGTGATGCATGTTTAACAACTGAATACAACATGTGCATCTAAATCATTTTTAAAAAACAGTCCCATTACAATTTCTATTTTATATCCTTTATACGTGTATATTTACACAAAACATTTTAACGTAGCAAAAAGAAAAAGGACAAAAAATAAAAATCAGGATATTATAAGGGTCAACCTTCCATTGTGTGTAAGGTTCATTAATGACCAAAAACATTTATGTAGCCCAACAGTGTCAAAAAGTAGATGGACAACTTTTCTGTAACAAATGCCTTCGACGAGGGACAATACGTCTGATTAAAGGAAATCTGGTCCGTGAGTCTGTGTGATTCTTCTGATTGTCATTCAGTCTTCAACTTCAGATTTCCTAAAGTTTTTCCTACACAGACTCAACTGTGGGCGGATACAGCGGCACAAACAGAAGCAAACTATACAGAGATGGTCATAATCCACAATTTAATATCAAGTTGTAGAACCATCAAAAAAGCCACATACTGAAATGTTAACGGAATTACAGATGTGTCCAGTGCTACACGCAGTAGTCTGCCCAAAGCATATGAGAGTATCTGAAACATGAAGTTAAGGTTATCTAAACAAACACTGGTTAAGAAATAAGCTGTACAGTTGCACCTATAGAATGCCAAGAGAACATGTATGTGCACAAAGGTTGTTTACAGGTCACCAGAGAACAGTTCAGGAAACAAAAATCTACATGTAAAGCCTTTTATAAAGACAACAAAATCAACCAAATTGAATCTTTACAATAATCTAATGGCTATAAGTTCAACCAATTAAAAACATTTAATTAAAAAAATTAAATTTTTTCCACTGTGGCGAGTCAGATGCTAGAACCTTCCTTTGAAGGGCTTGAATCCTCCGCTGCCGCCGGCCATGGGAACATTAGTGATCTGCACAATTCTGTTCATACCAGAAGAGGAATGACTGCAGAAAGACACAATCGGGCAAATCAATACACAGGCAAAGTCAACACGTGAAGGAAAGACTGAAGACAATGTTATTTCCTGTAAACGTGCAAGAATTACGATTAATTTGCCACCATGAGTAAATAACTAGCAAACTAACAAGGTGCAGTGAATGATAAAACTATTTGGTCTACAAAGCAGTGTGCCTACGATTGGATACTGGTGACACCGGAAACCTTGCACATTTCAAGTTAAAAAATATAGCTACAAGCAGCAATTGCGGGGCCAAAGATGTGGCGTGGTCAGTGTGAGGTGACAATGGCACATACAAGGTTTGTTGTCATTATGTCAAAGCTTTGAAGAGATAGCCTCAGTCATTTTGGCACTATGCCTAAAATTTGTAGTGGCGCTATACAAAAACGGTTTCGTTTATCGACACGAAATCCATAACTCTTTGTCAGCACAGTCTGAAGATCATCTGACTCGATTTTGGTGAAAATCGAACCAATGAGTGGCGAGGAGTTAAAAAAAGTAGGTTTTCAACAAATCAAAATGGCGGACAGGATAAATCAATGGTTTATTACTCTTGACCAATCGATGGCGCTGTTACCAAATTGGTGTGGCGTGGTCAGTGTGAGGTGACAATGGCACATACAAAGTTTGGTGCAAATACGTCAAAGCTTTGCAGAGATACAACCTCATATGCATTTTGGCATCTTAACCAGCAAATTCGCGGATGCTCTAAACGAAAACCGTTTCGTATATCGACACAAAATCCAAAACTTTTTGCCTGCTTGGTCTGAAGATGATCAGAGTCAAATTTGGTGAAAATTGGACTAACGGTCTAGTTCGAAAAAGTAGGTTTTCAACATGTATCAAAATGGCGGACAGGAAGTTCAGCCAATTATGGCAAAATTGGTATCGATGTTCTCAGCATGACACAAGGAATCTAGAAACATCAGTCTCATTACAATATTTTAATGTATGCAAAAGTTATTAGCATTTTTATAAATTGCTTTATAACTTTTGACCACAAGGCGGCGCTGCGCCCAAACTTTTTGAGTGCCATCAGGGCATGGTGCCGAAGATGCATACCGATTTTCGTAATAAAGTCTAAGTGTTCTTAAAATATTAAATTTTTTGACAAAATTAAAAATGGCCGACGCCCAAAATGGCTGACATGGGAAAATTTTATATGGTTCGACTCGGCATGATGCACCGAATCTAAAGAG